GACTCTCAGCAACCTGAGGGATCGTCCTGAGCTCCTCAGGATCAACCTCAGGCATCTTAGCCCTCAGAAAAGCTTGAGCTTCCTTCAAAGCATGAAGGTACAAGCCTAAAGCGTACTCGCCCTTCAACCTATCCATTTCCTCGGACTTTTTAAAGTCCTCGATGGCAGATACTCGAGCCCCATCAATCTTGGATTCCATGTCCCTCTTCAGCTGCTCAAGCTCCAACTTCAGCTCTTCGACCTCATCCTTAGCAATACCAATCTCATTCCGAGCCTTTCTCAGCTTGAGCCTAGCATCATCCCTTTCCTTCATAACTTGAGCTCGGGCAACCTCAGCATCAGATAGCTTTTTATCTCGAAACTCAATAGCCTCGACTAGTCCAGCCATCTTGTGGGATTCGTCCATCACTTGCAGTGACAGCCCTCGAGCAACGCTAAGTGTCTAACATCATAACATACAGAGCATAAGAATGAGAAAAATACATGGAAAATTCACATAAGGAAATAAAGTCTTACCTTCAAAGTAATGAGCTCGAGAGCTTTTATTCCCTCGTCGAACCCAACATCACCTCAATATTTCGGCACGATGCTCGGGCCAAGATGGCATCGCTCAAAATCCTTGATGATTGAGGCCACCGAAGGGATGGAGTCATCCTCAAGATCAACAACCTCAGGAGTAACCCGAGGAGGAAGTGGCCTAGGTGGCCTAGGTGAAGGTCGGGGTGTGTCCCCCTATCGTCGTTGTGAAATGGGGCTTGGAGGTCAAGGCCTTGATGTCGACGATTCACCAGGACCCCGGGGAGGCACTTCTGTTGTATGTACTCGGGGCCTTTTCTTCCCCTTTTTCTGACCAGGAGCCCTGACCCGAGGCTCCTTGGATTTGGAATTCACAACTTGACGAAGAGCTAATGGATCAAAAGACATATCTGCACAAGATTCAAGTATTAAGCACAAACACATGATCGAGCAATAAAAAACAAATGGACTGCAGAATAAACATCCTACCCTCGTGGCCTTTCGCACATGCAAGGTCGAGGATGTCATCCCCGAGAATATCATCTAAATCATACACTAAGGGCTCGAGATCTTCTAACATCTACCGATCCCTCTCTAGGGTCTCGAAGTAGGTCTGTCCCTCAAAAAAAATTTGTTGTGTTCGGGATATCCCACAAAGGCTAGAAAGGGAGTTCGAGATCTCGAGCTATGATATAGAACCACTTATCCTTCCACCCCTTTAGTGAACTAGGCATCCTCGGGATCCTAAATGCACCTCGAGACGAAAGGTAAGCAAAGTATGTAAACCTAGGGAGTTGTTTTAACTCGAAGACCATCCTACATAGGTCGAGGTAAGGGGTGATGCCTAGATACCTACATGCAATGAAGAAATAAATGAGCATTCTCCACCCATTGGACACTAACTATCCTGGGCACATAGAATGCTCGACTAGGAAGCCTACAAAGAACGGGTGCATGGGCCACCTGAACCCTGCCTTCAAAGAATCCCCAAAAATCACGAACTCTTCATTCTGAGCCTTATTAATCCTATCCTCGGGGTTAGGGGACCTACAGTCATTGTAGGGCATGAGCCCATACTTCCTCAACGCTTGCAGTGCTAAATGTTCTTTAAACCTACATTGAACATCGAGATACGTAAGCTCGAGAGCTTCTAGCGCCTTAGGATGAGCATCTAAAGGGACTGCCATAGGTATTATCTGCGTCCTATCATCCCTAGTATCCCTTGAGCTCTCAGATCCCCGGTCACTCTCAGTACTCGACATCTCCTTTTAATTAAAAACTAAAGAAATAACTTAAAAGTCCAGAGCCTTACCTCAGTTACCCGACGCCCAAACAACAAAAAGAAAAGTTTTTAGCTCGACCCCGATCTCGCTCTGAAAGATTCACAGAGAGTAAAAAGTAAAAAATGAATAAGATCAGGTGGTATTTATAAAACCTTGGGGGAAGACCAAGGGTTACATCAATCCTAGCCGTTGACCCTGGCCACATGTCACCCATCCAAATATCCCTTTTTTTCACTGAGATAGCCCATGCTCGCGCATTTCAACTCAACGTCTCTTCTCCGTGTTATTGACCTCGACGATAGGTCTCATTACGACCTTGAGCTCTTTGCATCTCGCATCCTGAGAATCTGTTTTGAGCTCAATCCCAGGGACGAATGCACGGGGGCCTGTGATATGCCTTATTATTCATCCATACCCGAGCATTATCCTCGATGACTAGAAATACGTCCCTCACCATATCGCAGCTTGATGTCGAGCATTTTCCTCGATGACAGGTGCTCGAGGATGCGCAATCGTGTGACGGCGGTGTTGTACGCCTAAGGTCCTAGGGATATATTGTCCTCAGGAATTCCTCTTCTCGAGTTGGTTGGGTTATGTTGATCCAATAGGATTCCTATCTACTTGGAACTCTAACTCTGGACTACTATTTCGATAATTGAGCCTAATAAGGACTCTGTCTTGAGCATAATTTTGTTATTTGTCTATTTCCTTAATCGTACAGGACTCCAACGGATAAGGATACCCAGCTAGTTGAGTCCTACTAGGAGAATACCACCTACCTCTATAAATACAATAGATGGGGACATTGTTCAGGTATGTTCTCATTATTTTTCAGTTTATAACCTTACGCACATATTTTCCTTTCCGACTTAAGTATCGGAAGGGCGACGAGAACACACCTGATTGCCTTTGTTTCAGGTACTGAAAGGCCGCAATCGTGCTCATTCAGAGTCCTCAAGCTCGAAGATTCAGCAGGACTCCAACGTATAAGGATACCCAGCTAGTTGAGTCCTACTAGTAAAATACCACCTACATCTATAAGTACAATAGATGGGGGCATTGTTCATGTACGTTCTCATTATTTTTCAGTTTATAGCCTCACGCACATATTTCCCTTTCTAACTTAAGTATCGGAAGGGCGACGAGAACACACCTCATTGCCTTTGTTTCAGGAACCTGAAGGTCGCGATCATACTCATTCAGAGTCCTCAAGCTTGGAGATTCAGTAAGTACGATTTTTAGTAGCATCAGTTGATAATGTTGAAATTTTTTCTAAACTTAGGAAATGACTTCATTTGAATAGAAAATTGTTCAGACCGAGCCATATATTCAGAGCAAAAAATAAAGGATTCTGCGCCAATAATCATTGAGGTTCTGAGTAATTATGTTAAAGTTTTTAATTATTACACCATTTGTCACTAAATCATACATGAATGGCAAAAGTGCTAATGTGATACTATATTAATTGTCAAGTCATCAAAAATCATCTTGAAAAGTACGAGTTTACTATTCGATTGCATTATTTTCTCTAAACGTATTTAATATCAATTCCTATTAGGCTATGTTTGAGCCACATTTTTTCAAAAAAATATATTCTTAAACAATAATTTGATATAATTCCAACAATATATTTTTCAATAAAATAATATTACATGCAAATTCAAAACATTTTTTTTAACTACACATTTCTTATCAATACACTATTCTAAAATGTATTTTTAGGAATATAATGTGGCTTAAACAAGGGCTTTATGAAATGATGCCGTTTATGTTGGCACTTAATCATAGGTTTTAATGTTAATTTTTAACGGATTGTCTTAAAATTTTGGGTTTCATCGTAAATTGTCAACATCGTTAAGAGGTGTAAGCCAAACCTTTATAAATTGATCTATATTTTCATCTTTATTAGATTTGCGATTATATCCTTTAACATGTCCCTCAAAATTGTGGCTCTTTTAAGCAGACTAATTTTAAAATCTGTTTACTTATTTTTGAGACTTAATTTGATTGGATCGCTCGATAGAATTTAATGGGCTCAGATACAATTTTAAGAGTTGGGTTCCATCTTAAAATATCAATCTTGTTAAGATGAGTAGCGCAACCTTTATAAATTGATCTATGTTTTTATCTTTATTCGATGTGGATTATATCGCTTAACATACCCCGTAAGATGGTGGCTCTTTTAATCAAACTAATCTTGAAATTCATTTACTCATTTTTTGAGATTTAATTTGATTGGATCGGACGTTAGAGCTTATTGAGCTCTGATACCATGCTAAGATTTGGAGTTTTCATTTTAAAAGGTTAATTTTGTTAAGAGAAGTAGTCCAAACCTTTATAAATTGGTCTATATTTTTATCTTTATTCATGTGGAATTACATCCCTTAACAGATTGGCTATTAAAGTAACAATTAGAAACTTGAATATTATCGTAAGAAAAACTCTACCGATCATTTTGCATAACTACTCAAAACTTTATTGATCTTTAGCACTGTTGACTCAAAAATAAAGGTTAACCGTTTGAAGGTATTTGATACGGATGACAATGAGTTGGATGGAACGGGAGCGGTCATTAATATTTTCGATGTGTTAAGAGATTTCTGGATACGAGGAGTGACCAAATTGAAAGAACCATTTACTATAACAAAATTGAAAAATTATAGTAAAAATAAACTAAAATAAATAAATTCAGGACAAGTTCGAAAAATTTGGACAGAGGACCATGTTCTCTTCCCATGCCATTTACTATTTGGGGTAGGTCTGGAAAGGAAAATTTTGAATAGCTAGTGTTCGAAGCATTTGCCTAAATTTATCTAACTTTTGTATTACATCAATTAACGTTCGGATTTTAAAATAAAATTAAAGTCTATAATTAATTTTAATTATATATATTGCTTAAAAATTCACAATTTTTTATTTAGTTCCCGTTTGAGCCACATTATTTTAAAAAAATACATTTTTAAATAGTGTTTGACATCATTTCAACCACACATTTTTCAATAAAATAATATTACACGCAAATTAAAAACTTTTTCATATTTTTTAACCACATATTTTCCATCAATACACTATTTAAGAATGCATTATAATCAAACTAACTAGGCTCAAACACCTTCATTATATATTTTATTAATTTTTGTCAAAGTCTATTAAAAATATAATTTTTAATCGATACGTACCCGATAATGAAATGACATCGGGTCATCCGGGTCTCACCAGCCACGAGTCCAATCCGATCTTCAAATACTGATTTCTTCAGAATCCGACCAATTCACTGATCCATTCATCCCATTTCCGTTAAAATTCATCACAGACAAAGAAGAATACTCGTAAACTGAAATTTCACTGCTAACTGTAAATTATAACAAAGGAATGGCTAATTGCTTGCGAGTACCATTGTCTTCTTCACTCCCATGTTCCTCATCCTCATCCCCTTCGCTCAAACGACGCAGTATCAGGACTCTATGTTCAGTGAACAGTACCAAAATTCCCATGCCTCTAGTTAACCCTAAGGACCCCTTTCTATCGAAGCTCGCTTCCGTGGCTGCTACTTCACCTGAAATACTCCTCAATAGTCAGAAAAACTCTGATACGCCGCCGTATCTGGACATTTTTGACTCTCCCACGCTCATGGCTACTCCTGCCCAAGTACCCATCTTTTTATTTGGCTTTCTACACTTTTATGTATTTTGGTATTCTTATTATTGGTTAGGAGTATTTACTTAGTCGATGATATCCTTAATCTTCTGAAAGTTTATTATTATTTTCCGTCCAATTCTTCGTCACACTGTGAATATATATTGGTTTTACGTGGATTTTAGCGGATGGACTTCCGCTGTTTCAAGGTTTACGATAGAGAACGTTTGAACTTTCCTATTAAATTTTCCCCACTGGAATTTCTTGGCACATTCAGTTTGTTTGTCATATCTTCTTTATCATTTTTAAGTGAATGGAATTTGATGATTATGTTAATATTGACTTTTTCACTCAGTGTAGTCTTGTTTGTTGGTTAAAACAGGTGGAGAGGTCAGTTTCGTACAATGAGCACAGGCCAAGGAGACCTCCACCAGACTTGCCTTCGTTGCTGCTGCACGGGAGAATAGTTTACATTGGCATGCCTGTAAAGCTTTCGTTCTTTCATTATGCCCTTTATTTTTTTGGCTGCAATTTTTTATTATACTGTGGTAGAAGCTCAAGCAAGGAACAATGAGTAACCAACTCTGCCATAATGTCCAACATATAAAAAAATTGTTCTCGTATAATTTGGTTCCTTCAAGCCTTCTGGAGAGAAAGGTGTCTGCCACTTTAACGTCACAATTCATTAAGGGGGTTGTTTGGTCCCCATTTTCTAAAACTCATTTTTTCATAACCTCTTTTCAACGATACATTTCATCTACTTTTATTAAGATCTACTAAAAATTTGATTTTTATTAAAACCAAACAAGAGCTAAGATATTTCATTTTCTGACCTATTTTACTTTTGGACTTTGTTAGATTTGAGGTTTAAGTACATACCTGACCGATATCGGTATGTCGAATTTGATTACTTGATAAACCTAATCTTTATAGACTTGTAACTGGATTTATGGTCAGTTTTGCTCCAGATAAGTTCATGAGTAGGAGTGATAGATAGATAATATATTATTCTCATATTGGAGTAAATTTTCCAGCTTAATTGTTGCTGGAGGCTTCTGACAACTTCTGCTTCTTTCTCTAAAATAGAATTAGGTATTAGTTTGATTATAAAAAATTGCAATTGGTTAAAGTAATCAATGATTCAAAGATGTTGAGTTAGGACTTAGGTATCAGAGGACACATTTCTGAACTTTTAAAAATGTAGTTGCATCTTGCAGACTTGCAGTGTCCGAAGGTTAAATCCAGACTGGACTATAACAATTGTTTCAGCTTTGAAGTGAAAAGTTTCCAATCTATCTCTTGACGTAGAAGCATAAACCACACGGATTGTCCGGAGGCAAACTCTACTGGGAGCAAATGCATCAATTTAAAATCACCTCTAATTACCTAATCAAGAGCTTTCATGGAGGAGATATGAAATATGTGAATGAACTATACTGCAAACTTGATTTCTCATGGATTTAGTTTTACCCAAATCACGACAATGAATTTATATTTGCAAGTAAAGAGACCACTTTCTAGGGTTCATTGAGAAAAATTGTCGAGTCACAAGAGCCCAATGAAGGGGGAGAAAAGGAGGCCTCATATATTGGACAAATAACCCACATTTCCAATAGTTCTTAAACCTTTTACTCCAATAGCTTGGTCCTTCACTACCTAAGTTAGGTTTCTGTAGTAAAATGTAATTTTGAGTCCAAATGTTTTGATGAAAATTGCTCTTTATACATCTGGATTTACTTAACAAATTGATTCGCGGATTTATCAGGTGAAACCAAATATCCCGAGAGCGCAAACTCATGAAAAAGTTATATAACAAGAACAAGCACTTAGCAAACTAAAGACAAGATTGGTTTTTCTGGATTTTATATGACTTTGATGATTTACCATAAACTCAACTACTTGATGCCTTTTTAGGTGTCCTCTACGAAAGTTGATCCGTGGACAATAACTGATATATTGATACTCCCCCATATAAAAACACGTACACACCGGCTGACTCAACCTTTATGCTCTTGTTGAATATGAGAAAAGATTGCTAGCTAATTTGAGATGTTAAATAGGGCAAGGTAATTTACTAAAGGTTAAAACTACTCTGGTTGGTTATTGAAGACATTCATCCATGGCATGTAAAATTCACCATGAAGTGTACATTTTCAAAACGGGAACTTTATTTTTAAGTTTAACAAACTTCATTTCTTTTTTTATTTTTCTCAACCTAAGTCTGTATTTGTTGTTCCAAAGCAAAAACAACCTATAACCAAGACATTCGCAGAGGTCAATGATCCCTGATCCACTTTTCATTTAAACTAAATTTGTAAAAGCTCATACTAATATTCTCATCTAAACTAAATTTGTAAAAGCTATATTATTATTTCTCTTCTTGTACATGGATTTACTCCCTTGTACAGATTTTCTAATATAATTGTACTTGAGGGGACAAAAGGATCTTGCTTTCCTTGCAAGATGAATTAGAGTGTTATTTGATTGTGTTGATATTTTTATCTGGAATTATATTTTCTTTTCTTGTGCTTGTGGTTTGAAGAGAACCCACTTTGTTACTTATATGTTCTTTTGTGTTCTCAGTTGGTTCCAGCTGTTACAGAGCTCGTTGTAGCTGAGTTGATGTATCTCCAATGGATGGATCCAAAAGAGCCAATTTACCTTTACATAAATTCCACTGGAACTACTCGAGATGATGGTGAAACGGTATTTCTAACTATTTTCTTGTTTAGACTATATTCTCATATGCCCCTTCAATTTGTGTTTGTGAATATTATGTGCACTATCTAATGGCAATTCAATTATCTGTCTTCTTCTATATCAAGAAAATAAGAAGAAAAGAATGATCTAGCACTCTCTGATTAGTGTCATTTTTTTTTCATAGCTTTCATAACATGCTTTTGCCTTAAGCCAGTTGGGTTACTAATTAGTGAATGGCAACAAATATTTCAAGGTGTTTCTAGTAAATTATTGATTGTGGAACCTATATAACAAATAACCCAAGTTGGAAAGATGTTTATTTTCTACTGCAGAATTTCTTGTATGACTTGTCGATTTTGTGATTAAAGCATAAGAGGAGGCACAATAA